GACGAATTGAACAGCACTGTGTCTTTACTACCCATAACCATAGCGCGAGCTCACGATGGAAATTTTAAGTGGAAATAGGCGGCGAAATTTAAATTCTCGCATCGCCTCGTCTCGCGACTCTCCTCGCCGGTGGAAAAGCACTTTTACTCAGCTTTCAAAAACTAACATTTTCCACTAAGTAATAGTTATTTGTCCACATTTTTGACAAAAAAAGTGGGGAGTTGTAAGTTTGAAGAATTTATTATGTTTCTGAGTGTCTGTCTGTTTTCCTAAACGGATGACTGAATCCAAAACAGTGTTGTTCTTTTTTAAATTGAGGGATAATTCAATCGGGATAATCAGCGTACATATCTCAACGAGATTGGGGATGTCCTTAAAAAGGGCCGAGTTAAGAGTACCAAATGGAACGAGTCCCATTTGGTACTCTTAACACGGTTTGGTACTCCTTTTGTCCCTTCCTGCCCCGGTGGGAGACACATAATAATAATAATAACTTTTACTGATAGCCATTACAAATACTATACAAATAATTGCAATAATTAGTAGTTGCCGATCAGACAGGCAACATCCAGACCCCATAAAAGGATTTTGGACCGTCATTTCTTACGGATCGGACGTAGTCCGTAAATGCTCTTAGCTTACAAATTGTGACTATAGATATTTTGGAGTATTGTTTTGCATTGGAGGTTTTTAAATTTTTGACAAAGATAATAAAGTAGCTGCCAATATAGCAAGAAGATATACATACAAACACCGTCGCGATTTGTACAGTATGTATGGGAGGTCTTAAGTCAGCTAAAATGCCACAATGTCTGAAGACCCGTCTATATAATCAGTATGTTCTGCCTACTATGACTTACGTGGCCGAGACATGGACGCACACGCAGGAGGCTGTGAATAGGATGAGAGTTGCACAGAGAGCCATGGAGCGTGTAATGCTCGGTATCAAGCTTATAGACCGTATTCCCAATGTCCAGATCCGAAGTCGAACCAAAGTAAAGGACGTGGGGAACCGCATCACAAAGCTAAAGTGGAGCTGACGGAGACTAGATGACAGATGGAGTAAGGCGATAACTGAGGGGCGTCCAGCGGCGAGATGGGCGGATGACATCGCAAGAATTGGGGGGCGAACCTGGATCGTGAATGGTACGGGATCGTGGGGAGTGGCAGACTTGGAGGCCTATACCCAGCAGTGGGTGACTGATGATGATGATGTATGGGAGGATTTTTTTTTATAATATCAAGTGACGGGACCAAGTCGCCAAGATCTGAGGGGCACTGCCACTGTCACCTTGAGACGTAAGTTGACAAGTCTCATGTGCTTGTACCTTCACCAGCACCCTTACCCTTCAAAACCGGAACACAGTGATGCTGACATTACTAATTGGCGGCAGAAATAGGTAAAGTGGCAGTACTTCCCAGGACGAACTCTTTCACAAGGAGCTCTACTGCTTCTAAGGATAACAGTATCCGAGAATAATAGCTGCTACTACGGTGGTATGTCACGGCCCTAACATCAAAACCCTGAGATTCCATTTGCGACAAAGTAAAAATGGAATACGTTTCATCTTATGTAAGTATATGTATATAAGTAAGTATGTAGTGCTAATAAAGCAGCGCGAGTCAGGCGCAGACAACAAGACAAGCCAGGTATGAATGAGTACAGTTTATTATGGATACAACTTGTACGGACAATGGCACACCAGACTACACATTTTTGTTCGAAAATTGTCTCCAGTGCAACGGAACAAGATACGTCAATGTGTAGCATGATGTGCTGGCGTGTGTACAAGGCAGCGTTACAATATTAATATGCTCCACGGCGATACAGCTACGACTGTCCCACAAGTGGAAGTAGTGACGTAGAAACAAGCTGCAGGCTCTCCTGTGTCCCACAAGTGGAAGCTCAACCGGAAGCAAGTTAGGTGGTGCCACAGAGGCCCTAAACACTAAACATTTTGTTTAGAACCTCTGTGGCCCCCTGACGCTGTGAACACTTTGATAGCACATTCTATTTCGATCCCATCGCCATCTAGCGGCCAGGCGATGTAACTAAAACTGTTATCATTGGGTTGCGGTGTTACAAGTATATAATAACAACGCACACACTCAACATAGCCCCGCACTAGGGAAACCCTGTGTCGCGGGTGCCATGGATACACACATAGACAACCACAAATTACACCCAAACTCACAAGAGAAATAAATGCAGGCCATACAAATATTTCCCCAACCCCGTAATCGAACCTGGGACCAGTTAAAGTTACACTTTTGCTTTTAAAATGTTTCGTACGTAAAATAATTTTTACCATTCAAGTGTATTATCTTTATTATTAATTATGGATCTCAGACCTGAGCACAGTTATAGACGTCTAATAAATAAATTAATATTAGACAACATCACATAATCTGTTGCTCTTATACTAAAGTGTGAAACTAAAGCACTTGTGTCATGGTAATCGGAAACAACGACGGTTCCGTAAACACCCAGATCCGTGATAATGTAGAGAAGTTAGTTTTTTACATTGACCCGGCCGGAGATCGAACTCGGGACCTCACAGATGGCGACACCATGAAAACCGGTGTGCAAGCCACTCGATCACGGAGGTTGTCGTAATAATTAAGCCTCTGGAACATCGGTGCCCAAACTTTTTGATTCACCGCCCACTCAGACAAGATAAAAAAATTTCACCGCCCACCTCAACAAAGAATAATTAAAAACACCTATTTTTTATATTAACTTAACACAAAAAATCACAAGAAAAAAAATTATAATTCGTAGTGTAGTTTACATAGATAACTTAGGTTTTTTTTTCAAATGCCGTAGCAAGTCAAAATCAAAACCCATAGGAAAAATTTTTACACTCGCAAACATTATTTTTTAGTTACTTTTTAAACTACTGCTCGTTCACTACGCTGACTCCCTGAGAAGAACGAGCAAGAAACTCAAAGGATTGCTCTTTTCAAATAAACCTAAATGCTATGGTATTAATGCTAATGAATCATAATTGTGTGGAATCTAGACTCTTGTTGTCTTTCCATACTTCTTTATCTAAAATATACTCTTCAATTTTGTAATATGACTTTTCAATTAAAATACTTTTAATGTAAGTTTTAAACTTAGAAAATGATAATCTTAATATATTCTCCGGAATCTTATTGTAAAAACGTATACAGTTCCCCATAAAATAATCGTTTACCTTAGTTAAAAGACATCGTGGTACCATGAGTTGGGACTTAGTTCTAAGGTTAATATTATGGATATCTTCTTTCTTAATGAAATTATGTATATTTTTACGGGCATCCAAATATTTGAGTAGAAGATACCAGTCTCCTTAAACTTTTCTCTGAGAGAAACCCGAGAACCAACTCAATCTCACTGAAGAGCAACTGAATAAACTTGAGCGACTCCAAAATTTTAGCATTAGATTCATATTTGGCTTACGTAAATATGATCACGTGTCTGATTTTCGTACTAAACTCAAGTGGTTGCCAATTCGCCTTCGCCGGAATGCTCATACTGTTTCTCTTCTTTACAATATCCTATTTAACCCCACTTCTCCTGCTTATCTTAAAGAGCGTTTTACCTTCCTTCACGAAACTCACTTGCGTGTATTGCGATCATCGGAAAACCTAAAGCTGCAGATACCTATCCATTCTTCGAAGGCTCTAGATAAATCTTTCTCGGTCCAAGCAGCTCGCTTATGGAATGACCTACCGGAAACTATAAGACGTGCCCAATCGCTTGATAAATTTAAACAATTGGTAAAGGAACATTATTTATCACTTAGTTGAAGTATTTATCATCCAAATTCTAAAATATATATAAGTAGTATATTATCATAAGTATATTCTATGTATTGTATATGTATCGATATATATTTAGTATAGTAGTTATGTGTATGTATGTTACTTATGTAGTAAGTTTTTATAAAGATTATTAAGTTCAATTTATGTATCGTTGCTGCTTTGTGCACCATTAGCTGCCCTTCACCTGTATTTAATTAAATTCTATAATAATCTGTAAGGTTGCCTGGTAGAGATCGCTGTTTAGCGATAAGGCCGCCGATTGTACATTTCCATTAACATATATATTGTAATGTTTCCATTTGTTTTGTGTGCAATAAAGCTTATTCTATTCTATTCTATTCTATAACCTAAACGGTACACAGAACGAATCGCTCGTTTTTGCGCCCCCTGGACAGCATCAATGGCCAATTGCTCCCAAAATTCCTACCGTCCGCCTAGGACTCTTCTGTGTCCACTGGGGGACAGGGTAGTGGGCAGGGTAGCATAGGTAGGGATCACTTTGAAAAACTATGCTCTGGGACGATCTGGACTTGTTATGATTTTTGTTATCAGGGGAGCTTAATCATGGCCTGTGCAGTGCTACTTTACTATGACATCGTCAATTTTCCATTGAAGAAAAAGTGTTGTATTTTGTAGAAAGAGAAAAAGAAAGAGGTGTTAAATTGCGAGTTGGTAAGGGCTGACCAAGGCGAAATTACCACATCCAACTTCGGGACCTCCTAAAAAAAGCCAGGTCAAGAGTACCCCTTTAACCGACAAGCATAGGTACTATAAAAGTACTAAATAAACTAAACTAAACTAAAGTAAACGTTGTGACAAGGCCAAAGATGTGTGTCTGATCATAGTAAGTGGAAGGCTGTTGTCTCTGCCTACCCTAATAATACCTAATACTACTATAGGAATACCTAAGTACTGCCATTAATCTATTAACTACTCGTAAAATAAAAAAGAACTTGCACATTATCTAAGCTCATACTGCCATAGCATATCCAACACTAGAACACCTAACTCCTTAAAAAAATGACATATACTATTATATGTAAATACTAACTTAAACAAGCCCTAAACCGTCCTATATTCTATTCCTATATTTTTAGCGTATGGCGTATGTGATGAACAAGACCAACTTAACCGAGCGCAAAGTCATTCATTCTAATTAAGTTCGTTCCATTCATTCGGTCACGCATGCGCGCTGCTCTTGCTCCCTCGCTTCGCTCACCGGTTGCCGCGTTTATCATTCTAGTTTAGGCCGGTACGTGAGGCTAACATATTTTTTTTGACGCCCTTGCAAATTAATTCTATTCAAAAATGGAATCTTTCTGCGGCAAGAAGTACAAGATGATCTCCTCGGAGAACTTTGATGAGTTCATGAAGGCCATTGGTAAGTTTTTGTCTATTTTTTTTTGATTCGCGATTCTGAGAACGAAGAGAAATCAATGTGCCGGCCGGCTTCCTTCTATGCACCTACCGCACCGGTTTAAACTTTTTGTGTTTTGTTGGGTGGAAAGGAAACACGTAGTCCCATTTTTATATAAATTAAAATGTAAATGCACAACCATTTTAAAAAATTCAGGTAACAGCCAATGTTAAATAATCGCTATTCTGAATTTAAAATAAATAGAATAGAGGGTATGCTTAAGTATATCACGCGATGTTATAAGAACTCAAGGAGAATTACTTGTGATTGGAATAGTTTGTTAACATTATTAGGCAATACTTTTAAACGAGGTCCTTAGTCAAAATAACGATAATGCAAAATATTACAAAAAATATCAGACGCGTAACTTAAAAATTGTCATTTTAGTGCCTTTTTGAAAATATGTTCATTTAAATTTTCATTATTAAATTATAGTTCAGACATTTTATTAAATATTTTTTCTCAATCTATTAATTTAATAAACGAATAAGTAACAAATATTAGGACAATGCTTATCGTACGTGGCATAAAGTTGAATTTACGTCTTCTAAGTGACTTACTTGCTCTTGCCTGTACTATCCATGACAAAATTATAAGAAAAACATCAACTTCTAGCAAACAACACCTTTTAGATGTTTCCCAAACGTTTAAATATTGTTGTTATGACTAATCTATTTCCAATAAACAAAATTGGTATATTTGGTGCCGCACTATATACTTACTTACTTAATAAAAAACAATACGGGCTTTGTCCTAATAATGATACTGTTGTTGTTCAATCAACGTCAATCAATGCGATTTTAGTTCAATCACAGATTACAGAATATGTTCAATCATCTACTTTATTTTTACAACTTGAAGATTCATTTTTAACCGACTTCAAAAAATGGAGGAGGTTCTCAATTTGACTCTATGCTTTTTTGTAATGTATGTTACGCGCAAACCGTATTAACCGGTATTTGTGAACCGATTTTGAAGATTCTTTTTTTGTTGGAAAGACGGTACCTCCATAGTGGTCGCATTTAATTTTGAAGAAAATCATCCACCTCTAAGGGTGGCTGTTCACGCATGATGATTCATTTTTATAAATAGTTCCCAAATTTTATTATAAGGAGCAATTATTTTAATGGTTTTGCTATTCTCCAATTCAAAGCGTTTTTCTCTCTCAATATAGGTACTTTGAGTAGTGAGAACCGATTTTTAATGTCTCCTGTGGCAAGTTCCATATAGTGGCGAACTAGGGGATGAATCCGAGTTTGCGCACTTTCCGGTAACCGATTTCAATAAAACTTGGCAAATAGATGTCATTCCACGTACTTTTGAAGTCGGTTTTTTTAGTACTCAATACTGAGATTATTTTTACATGACATTTCTTGTACATATTCTTGTGTTCGTTTGAAAGCGGCTTTGACTTTGTATGTATACTGAAACTTACGCTGTATATACAATTAACTATCAAACATAGAAGAAAAATTAAAAATGAACTATTCTATGATTAAATATTCGACATAAGAATCGTAGGCTACATTTGATTTGAAAAACGAACACTTTACCTTATTTTGTAAAAGACTTCAGAAAAAGGAGGAGATTCTCAATTCTTTTTTGTATGTTACGTGTTTACGCCGACATTTATGAATCTATTTCGATGAGTGGTCCCATTCAAATGTGAAGAATATATTCCACTTTCGGTTAACCGATTTCAATAAAACTTGGCAAATAGGTGAGGTCGATTTTTTTATGAAAAAGTTATTTATTATTTGGTACAATCTTCAGGCAACCGATTTTAGAACCTTTTTAACCGCCTACAGAGAAAAAGTATGAGTATGATTAACTTGAGATCGAGTTATACTTGATAGGAATACTTATGGATCGTATGGTGACCTCGGTGGCCTAACAGTTTACACTGTGGGCGCTGGATGTGGTTTGATTCCCAGTAGGTTCAATTTAGGAAATGTACTTTTCTAAATTGGTTCTGGTCTGGGTGTTCTGGTTGGTACTCCGGTACTCATAGTACAGGGAATTCTCTAATTTGAGACAAGGCAATTGGTGTGGTTGTCTAGAACATAATTATTATAGTTTTATTATTGTGGTTAACAAAAAAGTCTTGCCAACGTATATACTTTGCTTTATTTGTAAGTCAAATAGGTAAACGTATGTACTAAATAACTGCCTTAGTCATAGGATAGGCAACGATGAAGTGTTAATATTATGATTTAGTATGTGCAAACGGTGCACGTGACTGCTCGTGAATGTTTGACGTAATTCTCTGTAATGATAGTTAGCCTACGTACAGTCCAACTGATGGGCATAGGCCTCCTCTCACAATGATAGTGCTTGGGCAGCAGTTCCCATGTGCGCCCATACGGATTGGAAATTTCACGCAATCATTCAATCGCTTTGCAGATTTGTGCAGGTTTTCTCACGATGTATTCCTTCACCGAAAAGCTCATGGTAAATTTCAAGTTAACTTTCGCATATAAATTCGCACGTTTCTGCAGTGCGTCTCAGGAATAATCGCTAACACTCGTGTTGATAGTTTTGAAGCTGTTATGCGAAAAAGAGCGGCTTTCTTGATACGCAAAATTAGTGGCAGTGGTAACCTGAATGTCATCGCGTTCAGGATCCAGGGTTCTTTTCATGAGCACTGGACCCGAAGGCATATAATATATATATATATATATATAAAGAGGATGTTTATTTGTAATATTACCTCATTTTAAGCGCACTGTTGCTACTAACCCTTATGTCCGAAATATTTTTTTTTCAACTTTGAATTTGTAATTCTGTATAACTCGAAGTTGCAAGCCCGGATTTGAACCCACGACCATCTGCTTGAGAGGCGGTAGATCGAACTATTAGTCTAATTTTGTATTTTTACTTTATCTAACTCTGTCTAATTTTGTTTTTAAGTGTAGTTATTACTAAATTGAGACAATGTCGGTTGCGATTTTAAAATTCTCATATTGTTATCTGTCATAGAAACGAAGCATCAACATTAACCATAAAAATTTATTACAATGTATTGATAAGTTGTTGTAGAAATTATGACAAAATAAAAGATAATCTTGAAAGGATTATTCATCGTACCGGTACCTAACAGTTTTGTGAAATGAATGACGGTATTGTAGATGTACGTGTTCGTTGAATTGAAAGATAATACTTCCCTTGTTCCTGGTCGTATTGAGTAATTGATATCAATGAATCAACTGTTCTGTTCTCTAAATGATCTAAATTGAAACATTCCGATCTTATGAGGTACTTTGAAGTTAAAGAGTTAAAGTAATAGTGTTGAAGCTGAGTAGTGACTAGTAATTACTAGTAACATTTCGGAACTGAAACTTTAACTTAGATTAGTACTGGTGAATAGGTCGATACTTCCAATAAACACTCAACTTAATTTTTGGACATGTTCTGTTTTCATTTTGTTTCTTTTATTTTTTTGCACAAAATTCGGGAAGCTTAATATTAATATATATATAAATACAGTTGGCGTTAGTATTCATTGGAGGTATCGAAATGGAAGTGGACGTTTTTACCTTAATATAATAAGACAAGTACGCTAACTCTGCACAAACGTAACAGCGAGAATTGCATGTACGCGCGCCCGCCGCGTGGCGTATGCGGACGAACACATTCGCATAATCTCGCGATGCATTCGCGTTGCATAGCACTGGTCGTCTCACGCGCCTTTAATTATTTATGCGACGGCAGGCACACATAAAAGACGCGCTGCTAAGTTTCTGTGGAGTTACCATACTTGTCCTATTGTACTAAATTTTTAGTAAGTCGCTAGTTACATTATCATAACATAATTTATATTAAAAAAATCATCTCTGTCGTTTTATTTAGTCTTCTATAATATGCAGTAGCTCTAACATCTCGTAGCAGTAGAGCTCCTTGTGAAAGAGTTCGTCCAGAGAGGTACTGCCGCCTTACCTATTTCTACCGCCAAGCGGTAATGTAAATATGATATGCGTTCCGGTTTTGAAGAGTAAGAGTGCTGGGAAAATTACAGGCGCATAGGACCTGTCAACTTATGTCTTGGGTGACTGGCGCAGCGGTAGTACCTCTCAGATTCATGGGATATTAAGCAACCGCTATGGACAGGCGTGTCGCTTACTACCAGTCGCACCACTTGTTCGTTGCGCATAACTTGACATAAAAAAAAATGCGATACAAATAATTTTTATTGACTAATTTTAATTATCGATCGCACTGATAATTGCATGAAAATACTTGAAATTATATATACGACACTTTTATTAAAATAGTTTTGTGTAATTAAAATAATTAATTAAATCGTAGTATGTTTACCATTTGTGAAAATAATGTTTCCATGTTCTAACGAAGCTTGTTTTTGTACTGCGTGTTATACTGATACTGATTGGTAGTCAATTAATTAAAATATAAAATCCTAAACTAACCTTGAATTAAGATAACTAGCAAGTACTTCTAAATACTACATGTGTGCATTAAGTAGGCATCTCTAAAAAAATACATTCATCTCACTGACATATTTGAATATCACATTACAAAAGATCTCATGATAAACAATACAGTAAACTACCTCATACATAATCGATAACACGGCGTGACTAACATTTTTTTGTATGCTTATGCAATTTACTGGGCCATAAAAAGAATCAAAATGAATGGTTCGTGTGAATCAAAAAGTTTAACCTTGGTTCTGGCGGACTTTGATTTGAGCATTTTGAACTCGGAGTCCTGCACAATGACTAGTGATAACCGTATTACATATATTTCGTAACGTTAAGGTTAAACATTGGCATTTATTTTTGACAACTTTGAAAAGTATTATCGTGCCAAAATTTATAAATGTGACATTTTATGAAGTATCGAACTGGCGCATGTAGAGTAACAACATTTTCTTGATTATTATCTGTATTGTAATCCGTCTACCAAAATGATAGATGACTTTGATAACCAACCATACAGTGTATTAG